TCATCATTATTATCCCCATTATTATCATCATCATTATTACTGCTGCCACAGTGACTCCCCAGATCATCAGTGAGTGTCTTCCTCTCCACAGGCTCCTGCTCACCAGGAGCCCATTGATGTCCCCAGCCCCCCTCATGGTTGTATCTTCATTGGAGGCGATGCCTGAAGGGGGAGGGGCCACCACTTTGTGGGGTTATGCTGATGGATAGGTATAAGAACCCCCCCACCCTGCAAGAATGCGACCACATAGTAAAAAAACAAGTCGTTGTGTCGCCTCCAGTCGGTCGAGCCAGAGACGCTCCAGCATGCAGCCGCTCATCGTGCCCGCTCTGCTGGCATCCTGCCTGTGGACCCTGTGCGCAGAAGCCGGAGGTGAGTCTCCTCTCATTCATACATGCAAAATATGAACAAGCACAAAAAATGGTGCCTCTACTTGAATTCCACTTGACTTTGTGCTTACAGTGAAAACATTAGTAAATATCTGGACATGTGTGATTTTCTTTCTGCAAAATGTGAAGCTTTTTTGATATGAATCAAACACAGGCTATTTCAATTTTCTGATCGGAATCTGTGATCTACTCTCACATGGACCTGGTGTACTTGATCTATTGTGTTAATATGACTATGCACCTCCTTTCGAAACTGTACATGGGATTGATCAATGTTTCAGTGACACCAGCAGGCTGAAGTTTTTTTTTCACAGTCACTTCATGCGACCAATCGTAAAGTTTACACTGAAATTTGGAGGTCCAAGAATCTAATAGGACAGATATCCCCAAAATAGAGAGAGAGAGGAAGACAGAGAGAGAGAGAGAGACTATAGGGCAATAGACTTCCCAAATTAAAGCCCCCCCCATGAGCCAAAACAGCACCAAACCCGCGTGTGCGTGACGCTGTCCTCCACCTGCCGTGTCCGTCACGATGTGGCACCGAGCTGCTCCTCTGTACCTGCCCTCACACCTCAGAGCTCCGAGAGAGAGCATTACAGGACGCTCATCTCTCCCTCTCTCTC